CATATATATATATATATATATACTGCTTGCGTGTAGGTTGGAGAACAACTCAATTGATATACAAGAGAAGAGATAATATCTTTTACAATTCCTCACGGATACAAGTCTGATGGTAACCCACCCATCTGTGCAAGCACATAACGAAGGTCTCACTCCTACAGCACAGTAGCGTTTTATAACACAATCGTCGCACTGCGTGAAATGATACCCACCAAGCAGTTTGGCACTCCGGTTTTTGAGTTACCGCCCCCTCCCCCCAGGATTACATGGTTATTCTTTGTGGTCGCAACACTGTAGATCGGATAGTTGGTTTCAACCAGCTGTCGAGACGGCATCTTGTAGGGTATGCGGAGTGTGGTACACCAACACAAGTATTATATACTTGATTATATTAGTATATATATACTAATATAATATTTCATGCATATACACTCTATTGAAACGACACCACTTAAAAGTGAATGATCAATGCTGGGGCAATAGTCGCTAATATTCACAAGTTAGAAAAAAATACAAGAGATGTTGATGTTGACTTCTCCTGTGCGTGTTTACTGCTTAGGTGTCAGCATTCAGAATCTGTGAATCAGTACCGACCCTGATGTCTGATTGGCTTACTACAAAATAAAATAGATATCATTGGCTGATCGTCATCAAAGAAGCTTTTCTGATTCGCTGTTTTCTTCAACTGCATCTATTCAGGTTTGGCGGGCTTTTAACACCAAAGCAACTTCGATCTATTTGTATTCATTTGGCAACCCAGCTCTCAATACCTCTATCCTTTCGTGTGCAACTGTGCATTGTGCATGTGTGCTATGTATTTATATAGTGTAGCCAATATGCATACATTGGTTTACACAACAGACGTGACCACAACCACACACACACACACACACATAAATACACACACACTCACGCATGAGGTGAACTAGATACTATCACAGGCTCATGTGCACGTGTAGACGGTGTAGATTGCATTGTTGTATCCTACAAACCTGATGCGGACACGGCGAATATAGTGCAGCTAGGCGCGCTATCAAATGAAGGATCTTGTTATATCTTAGACATGAAGTGCTCTGGGGATGTAGACGAGGTGGCCACTAACAGTGGGTGTGGGTCATTTGGCAAGCGAAAGAGACACGTGATATGGTGTGTAAGCGTGTGTGGTGTCCATAGAGCATCGAATCTCTGATAAGTCTTGTCTGTTGCGTTGTCCGTTTTAGCTTTACCATGTTACTAGGGATACCATTGGTGGTAATCTCCATAGAAGTTGTTCTGAAGATCGATTTAGCGTACCGGGATTATATGCTGCGGATTATACATAGCGTTCAATGAAAGTGATATGGTGGTCAGGCTTAGTGGGTTGTTTTAGGGCATCATTCCAGTAGAATATATATATTTATGTGCCTGATACCTGGTGATAGGGAAACAGGTTGTGCTTGCTGTGGTGTGATATGTGATGCACTACTAGCATACTTGGACAGTTTGAATCTCGTAGAGGCACTGTAGTAGTTGTTGATAGTTAAATATTGAAACGCCGAACCTACTATGTGACCTTCCGATTTATGTTTTAATGCTTTAACAAATAGGCACATGTGCCTTGTCTCAGGAAAGATAGCACGCGTCCAATGCAGAATAAAACATACTCGTTTATAAATGTGCATCTAGTATATCCTTGGGCCGGCTACTTTGCTCCGTGTATAGGATCTGATGAATTCGAGATGTGCACGTATTTTTACGTATACTTATATATATATATATATATATATATATATATATATATATATATATATATATATATATATATATATATATATATATATATATATATATATATATATATATATATATATATATATAGTATAGTACTATA